AAATAAACGCAGATACAGACAAGGTATCATGGTTGCCAGAGAGAAAGGTGAGTGGAAGAGGGCAAAGAGAGGATAAATAGTGGTGGAAAGAGACTTGACTTTGGGTGGTGAGCACACAATGCAGTGTGCAGAAGATGTTCTATAGAGTTGTACACTTGAAACCTATATAACTTTATTAAGCAATGTCACCCCAATAAATTCAATTAAAAATATAAAAAAAATTGCTATATCTTTAACAAAATTTTTAAACTGATTTTTCAAACAGTTAATTGTGGAGTTTCTTCCTTATGCAACTATTAGCACTTGTACAAGTATAATTTTTTTTTCCTACTAGTATTTATTGAGTATGTGTATATTCTGCCTACATTTCTGCATTTACTTATATAAACCTGAGCTAACCCTTTGATGTAGGTGATTGTAGTAATCCCATCTGGTAGAGAAGATAAAGAAAGAACAGAATATCTGGCATGGTCATGCAGCTATTAAGTACTGTAGTTGCTTAATGGCATGCTATACTGATCTTTCTGAAAGGAAAATTAATCAATTTAAAGATCCATTTGAACACTGAAAAAAAATCTGAGTTTAGTGTATACAAAATGTGGTATTTTTAGGGTATCATACAATTCTTTTTGCTTATAAATAATGAAAAAAATCTAAAAATAGGTAACAGGAATGCAAACTAGGTGAATCATGGAACAAGGTAACTGGATCCTAAATTATGTGATTGCAATATTTGGAGCAAACAAGGTAAGACTTTCACTTTGCTAACATCAGATCACATACCCCAGGAACCTGCATTCCATTAGGTTTCCAGCTTTAAAAGCAATAGAGGGAGGCCCTGGCCAGTTTGGCTCAGCGGTTGAGCGTCAGCCTACGGACCAGAGCGTCCTGGGTTCAGTTCCCGCTAGGGGCACATACCACAAAAATAAATGAATTAATTAAATAAAATAAAAGCAATACAGGGAGGCCGTGCCAAGCTGCCACCAGCAAAATGTAGTGGTTAGAAATGTGGGCTCAGGAATCTGATACCTGAGGTCAAACCCACACTCTTCTCAATCCTGTGAGTTTCAGCAAGGTACTTCACCTCTCTCTGCCACCATTCTTCACAGGAATAACAAGAGCAATAGCATGTTTTACCAGGGTTGTTGGGAGGATTTAATGCGATCAAACATTAGTAAGGTACATGAGAAGGACCGAATGAATTTTAACTATTAATATATTCAAAGGAGGATGTTTACAATGACGAAGACACTTGAAATATCACCAAGCAAGAAACAAATGAACAGAATTTAGAAGAGAGTGACAACTTCCATGACCTCTAGAGTAACAGATTTTTAAATCAATCTGGAAATTAATTTAAAATAAGTTCTGGTTCAACAGATAAAGAACTTTGTGGAAAGTACAGCTTCCCAAAGACAGAAAGGACTCCAGAATTAAACATTTACTCAGACATATTGTAGGGGAGATTCAGAGTCTTGGTCAAGACAGCTTTTAAGCTTCTTTCAAAATCTGAGATTCTATGAAAATAAAAGTGACTTTAGAAAATCACATTAAGCAATTGCTCTTCTTACTGCAAAAGTCTGCTTAGGTAGAGAAATCAGCAAACAATTTCTAATTGCTTCATCCTTAAAGCCAAAAATTTTCTAAAATTTCTAGCCTACACTGATCCTTCAATTCTCTAAATTATAGAATTCTTGAAAATAAAATTTTTACAGCTACAAAATATTTAGTCTAAAGTAATCTCTAACTCAACTGATTTAAAAAAAAAAAAATGTTTTCATTGATTATTTAAAGAGAAGAAGTAACAGAGATATAGAAACAGCAATGTGAAAGAGAAACATCCATCGGCGGCCTCCTGCGCCCCCTAATGGGGATCGAGCCTGCAACCTAGTCATGTGCCCTGACCTGGAATCGAACCGGCACCTCTCAGTTCATGTGAAGACACTCAATCCACCGAGCCACATCAACTGGACTCAACTGATTTTTTAAAATTTCAAACTAGTTATCAATGCTCGGAGGCTAAAGATCATATATTAAATTATTCTTTTCTACCATATTATAGTACTTAGCACATTGATAAACAAAGTAGTAAATGCTCAGCAAACAGTGAATTTCCATTCAAATTTAAAGTATACTGTTTACCACGAATTTCAATATAAATCCAAGAAACTTGTTTTGAGTAACTACATTTTACTCATCCAACCAAAATCTAGAGAATGAAATTACCAAGGCATTTTATAGGTAAAGATATGTCTAAGTCCTCAACGTTGGCCCAACAGGTAATAATTTCAAAAGACTTTCTTATAGACAGAGCCTTTAGCAATCGAAATAACATTTGAGAAATGTTCCATTTTAAGAAAGCTGCAAGATTCATCAGTAGTAGTTTTTCTCACACCAGAAGCATAATCTATGTAGCTTTATTCAAAACTAGTTTTATGGGGTTATAAATTTTTAGTAATAAGATGAATAAGTTCTGAGGATCTAATGTACAGCATGGTGAATAGTTAAGCGTTCTCATCAGAAAAAAAAAAAAGGCAAAAGAACTATGTGATGTGATGACGTGTTAATTTTATTGTGGTAATAATTTCAAAATGTATATGTATATCATAAGATTGTATACATTAAATAATATAATTTTACTAGTCAATTAAACTTCAATAAAAAATTAAACTTCATTTAAAAATCTGCACTCTAGAATGTTTATAGTATTGTTTTTGTTGTATAACATTTATTTTAGTATTAGAATAATTTTTTTATTTCTACTTATAATATGTAAAGAACTATTACTTCAATTGGTATAATAGAATGATTATATATAATTCAACCTGTAGATTACTTTTGTTATTTCTTTGCATAAATTAAAGTCACTTTCTGTTTTTGACCCTTATCTGTTTGGACTTCTTAACCTTTAAAAAATGACTCTGTTTTGAATTGCAAAGAAATATACTTTTTCAGAGTTTTAACTTAGTATAACATAAAGGCCAAAGAATGCATAATTTATTTTATTAACAAATAATTGCATTTTTCTCTCATCAGTTAGAGAGAGAGAGAGAGAGAGATCACAAACTCAGCTAAATCAAGATATTAACCCTTTTAAAAAAATCTTAACACCAAATTCTCAGGAGTAGAGAATTCTCTACTAATAGAATAGAATAATAAATTCTCTCCTAATAGTGGAAAAGTCAATTTTTTAATCAGAACGTCTGGATTTTAAGCCAGGATCCATCATTAAATAAACTTTAGCAAGTTACTTACTCTCTCTATACATTTAAAGGGGGTTTTACATTATCATTTATCCTTACAAAATTATGATCCTTTAATGACATAAAACATCTAAATCATTTTGAAGTTATACTTGGCATGTAGTAAGCATTATGTAATTGTTTTAAATTACTATTCATTAGTAGCATCTGCTTACTCACAGTCCATTTTATGATAATAGCTCTGGGCAGGCAAACAAATCATTTAAAGAACAGAATGTAAAGCAGATTTTCCCTACTCCAGGCTTTCCTGGTGTCCTAATTCTCCACAGAATGTGTTATTCCTACCAAAAAAAAAAAAAAAAGAACAGATTCCATTGTCCGTGGTCCTTTCCTGTGTGGCAGGAATGGCTAGCTGGAAGTCGGGACTATGATGTGTGGCCATATTTTTGATGCTCTACAACTATATGGTCTAGACCTACAATCCAGAACAAATCAAACCAGGACCTATGAAGTAGAGATCCATAAAATACTGCTTTCTAAACTAGTGGTTGAACATGCATCCTGAAAATAATATACAATTTATGTATATGACCTAATGCACTAACAAAATACATTATATAACATTCTGAAGAAAGGATAGACAGCAGGTCTGAACCATTTTCCAAACACTTTCCCTGCGAACATTTGGGATTAAGATAAATGGGGAACGTTCGCTGTGTTACCAGGCAACATTACTTATTGTTGGTAGAATGCATCTGGACCAGGAAGACTATGAGTAATCTATAAAATTATTTTAGGACTCACAGACCTCAGCTCCCGATGTACAGGGCATTCTTGTAACTGAGGGCATCCCTTAAGGAGACCTGGGCTGCTATCAAGATACTGGTTCTTGTGGAGTCTGAGTTTTACCCAAAGCAAAGTAGTCCATGTCTATCCATATGGTCTTGTGGACTTAAAACTGAGTTACTACATTGGGGGAGGGGGTGGTAAGGAAGAGGAGATGGAAATGGTTTGTGAACAATTATAGGGACTCCCAGTGAAGAAGCACCTGACATTATTCTGCTGGAATTCTATGTTTCCTGTTGAATCCCTCTGCTAAAGGAAGTGAATCACATACCAGACAACGGCCTACTGTGTCTGATTAGTGTGAGTGTCAAGACAAAACCACAAGTGCACTCTGGTGATCATGCAGACATATGTATAAACAAAAATATATTGTTTTCTTCCTCTGACATAATGGACTATTTCAAGCACCATACTTTTGAGAACACCGCTTGCATCCATACACTTTTCAGAATATTTAGGGTATATTCTTTGTAACAAGCTTAGACTACTTTCTTTATTCCCTTTGTGATTTTCTGGTGTTTTTGCCAGATCCTTGTCTTTGCTCATTGTGAATTTTTGGCTTTCTCTCCAATTATTATTGCCTCTAGGCCTTTTTAAACTAAAAACTGGTAACTTCATCATTACAAACTCTGCAGTAGTGAGATATAAGGAATTCCTGAAAATACAAATACTAAAATATCTTCTGGAAGTTATTAGGATATAGCTATAGGGAGCTTTAAAAATTATCACATTGTGGGAAAAGTAACTCTTTTTCAATTTTAATATATTGTTATACTAGTTCCATTAAACATGCTATGTTAAAAATAAAATTATTTCTTCCATTCTTGATACTCCCCTCAATTCCAAGTAACCAAATAATTTTACCACTTCCTATGAAAAGTCCTGCAGATGTATCTTTCATTATCCCATTTTTAGGCACACATGGTTTTAAAAATATTTTTTGTAACTTACCCTGAAACATGCAACATCAGCAGCATGTAGAAGACAAAGAAGAGATTATGAGTATACCAGAAGATGTCATAGTTAGAAACTCTGAAAAAACAAACAACTTAGTTTCAATGCCACTTTACATTGCATCTCACTAAGAAGATGGTGCATTTCACACACATGTCACAATTGAAGAAAGTTCCAATAAGAGTTCATCTGAGATCTGTCTATTATAGCAAAGTATTTACATACCATGAAGAGATAACTGACAAAAATGATAAATAATACTATGATTTTTTTTGTATTTGAAATAAAGACACATGAAAAATTAAAATAAGGCATGTATTTTTTAAAATATTTTTTCTTTATTGATTTTAGAGAGAGAGGAGGGAGAGAGAGAGAGGGAGGGGGAGAGATGGAGACATCAATGAGAGAACATCAACTGGCCGCCTCCTACATGCCCCCCATTGGGGATCAGGCCCACAACCTGGGCATGTGCCCTGACCAGGAATCAAACTCTTGGTGTATGGGTCGATGCTCAACCACTAAGCCACACTGGCCAGGCAATAAGATGTTTATTTTAAAGTTATTACAATGTAAGGCTAAGGAATAATTATAGTCTGCTCATATGAATTTTGCTGTCCTTTCTATCAATATTCTCAATTTCATTTTGATTTCTTAAACAACTAATGTTTCTATCCCAATAAATATTTTGACAGTAGTTCAAAGAAAACTCAAATTGAGAGAAATTAAATGCTCATTAAAGTTGTATATTATTTTCCTGGACAGTGTATAATTTAAAAACAATACCTTGGTGTTACTGTGCTGCAGGAGATTAGAGTCTGGAAATGAAGGAGTATAATACACACTATCTATAGAATATTTGAGAGAAGTAAAAAAACTAGAAGTTATTTTATTTTTATATGTCTGGGTGTATAGTAATATATTAGAATCTTAGAGAGTGGAGGGCAAATATTTGTAAAAGCTTCTGAGAGGATTCTGATACAGCCCCTAGATCCTTTTAGAGAACCTGATTTATGCAATGGCCAACTAATTCACATTTACTTCATTCAGTTTTTGCTATCGTAAACAAGATCATTAACATCCTTGTTACATAAGCCTTTTGCACATACATAATTCTTTTAAAATCTAAATCCCTATAAGTGGAATTGCTAGATCAAAGGGGACACTTTTGCAATGTTTTTAATACAAACTGCCCATTGCTCTCTGAAAACATGTTTATCAATTGCAAATCCAACTTTAGGAGTGTCTTTTCCTCAAACCCAGGCTCCACTTCATAAGTTTTTATTATTTTGTATAAGTGGAATTGGCTATTATTTCATTTGCCATCACATACTTTTAATTCTTCTATTACTCATCTATTCATAATAATTACCCATTTTTTATAGTGAATTTTTCTTAATTGTGAGTAAACTGTTCAAAATTTAAGAATGTACTAGTTCTGCATACCTATAATACTTTGTCAAATAACATGTTTCCATTTCAATTTTTATAATGTATAGTTTTAGTTTTCCTATGTTTATAAGTCAGATATTTCCTATATTTTCCTTGTCCATTAAGAGATCTGATAAGTATGCACTTAAAGTTTCTTCTAAATTTTTAATGGTGTAATTTTTGTACAGTTAACTCTATAAATTATCTTGAATTTTTTCATTTAAGCTTTATTTTCATCATAAATTTGTGATGTCACCTTTATTATTTAGCAAGTTTTTATATATAGTGAAGTCTCTCAAGGCTTTCTATCAATTCTACCATTGGTTCAATGTCTTGGTCATTTTTGCAAGTTAAGTTCTACTTTCAGTTATGGAAGCATAATCATTTTCATATTTAGTAAACCACATACCTCCTCTTACTCTTCTTTTGAAAAATGTACTTGGATATTACCTCAGATGAACTTTAGAATCACTTTGCTAAATTCAATAAGCAAACAAACAATATAACCTATCTTGGATTTTAATTGGAATTGCAACGAACTTATAAAATAATTGAGGAAGAACTCCACCTTTATCTTATACAGTCTTTTTTGTTTGTTTGTTTGTTTGTTTTGTTTTTTTCATCTTCACCTGAGGACATTTTTTTTTGTTTTTTGTTCAGATAGAGTAGGAGGGAGAAAGAAAAAGAGAGAGAGAGAGAGAGAGAGAAACATCGATGTGAAAAGGACACATTGAGTGGTTGCCACCCGCACGACCAACCAGGGCTGGGGACAAACTGCAACCGAGGTACATGCCCTTAGCGGGAACTGCACCCGGGTCTCTCTGTACCACAGGCCGACGCTTTAACCGCTGAGCAAACCAGTCAGGGATCTTATACAGTCTTTATTCAAATCTCTATTCATTTCTTTCAGTGAAGTTGTGTTTTTGTCTATATGACTTTCACTTAGTTTCTTCCTAAGTTTAATTGCAACAAAAACATAAATTATCTGCAAATAAACTTAGGAAGAAACTAAGTTTATTTGCAGATAATTTATGTTTTTGTTGCAATTATTAGTGATATATTTTCATGTTATTCAATTTTCAAACATAATAGCTATTATATAAAAGCTATTTTAAAATATTTGTGTTATACTCATTTACCTATTTCAACTCCTTTATTTGATATAACACTAATTTTTCCCCATAATTCTCTTGGATTTTCTGACTAGACAATTATATCTACCTTTCTGGATGTAGTGATAATGTGTTGTTGCATTTTTTAAATAATTCTAAATGTTTTATTTCTTATCATATGTAAACAATGGCATTCTTTAATGGAATTAAAAATAGTACTTTGGCTTTTTCATAATTTTCTTAACTATGTATCTCATGTTTCACTGGTAAGTATGATCTTGGTTCTGGCTTTTATATTTTTTAATTCTATAAAAGAAATTGGCTTTTAGTAAACTCTGATTATTTTAATCCAGAATTGGTGTTCAGATTTAACAACTGCCATTTCAATGTCTATTGAAATGAGAAACTATGTTTGTATTAGTGTCATTAGTTATTAGAATTTATTACTTATTTTAATATTTGATCCATATTAAGCCATTGGTGAATTATTAGACTACATTCAATGCCAGAAATTAAATACTGAAGTCGTATTTATTCACCTGATTTCTCTAATGTTTTATTTCCTTACTAGTAAAGAGAAAAGGTAGATTATCTCCAAGATCCATTTAAGAATTTCATCATTCTCACAATGAAGACTGAAGAAAAGCAGTGTTAGTTTTAGATTCTTTTTTAAACAAATGAAAAAATTAACAATTAAGACATAGTCACCAAATTATTTATGTAATGACTCAGTTGAGAACAGAAGCTGAGCTTTATAATCCATTTATAATACTCTCTCTCAATAAAAGATTATCTTTCTAGATATAGAACATTTATATATCTTCAGTCTTATAAATATATGTCAGATGCCTTACTTTTTCTTCAAGAACTCCTAAAACAGAAAAAGTATTTTTTAAAATGTATTATTGATCTAACTAAAATAAAATTTCTCCCACAAAACTGGCACCCTGATACACTAATGTTAGAGATTTGCCTTTCTATAAGGTGATTTTTAATTCTTGTAAAAATGGGCTTATCATCTGATCCAGACAGTCTCCATCTAAGTGTTTTTCCATAGGAAAAAATTGAAAAAGTATGCAAAGATATATGGATAGGGTGTTTGTTTCACAATTGAAATAATAAAAAAATGGAATTAACTTAAACATCCAACAATAGGTGGCTAGGAGGGTAATGTATGTCTACATGGTCATACGCTGTGCCATCAGTAAAGAAAAAATGTTCATAACAAGATTTAAGTAAAAAGCAGTTTTAGAATAGTACGTACAATATGATACAAGTTTGGTTAAATACATATAGACATGAAGAGACAGAGATCAGAAGAGTGAAAGGAAGAGAAAGAATGTTTTTGGTAGAGTAAGACATGGGGCATGAGTGAGCAAAAGCAGGAAGAATGAAGAATATAAACATAATATCAGGAAGTTTATCATGTGAATCTCTAAGTGCTGACTTCTGAGGTTTTGTTGTGTGTGTTTGTGTGCATAGATGTGTTTAGAAGTGCAAAGATAGACTCATCCGAACATGGGGTAGGGCAATTATTTCCAAAGCATGTGCATGTGTATGTTTCCATTATATTTCAAACCTCAACAAATAGAATGACTATTTTTGAAGGTTATATACTGTTTCTTCTTTTTGCTTTCTTAACCAAGAAATTTCACCAGTAACATAAGATACTGTAAAATGTTGTGAAAAACAGATGTATCCACCAGAAAGAACATGTGAAAATGTTCATAAAAATGTGTGTCTGCAATTGCTTAAAATCCTGTAACTAGAAGAATAATGTGAATGCAGATATTTCCGATTATTTTAGCAGATGTCAGCTAACCATTTTTCCAAAGCTTTGTTTGGAATATTGAATTAAATTACAGCAAAACAAATTCATATCAGGAAATGAGTTGTAGAACGATTTTAAGTGATATGTTCCTGTGTATACACATTGAATTAAATCCCATGTCTCATAGATACATGATCCTCCAGAAGAATGCCCTGAAGAACTCAAATTTCCTTAGTTTAAAAAATCTCCATACACAATTCCTTACCAACCTAGAATATTTGACTAAAACAAAGAGATTTTTTCCCCAAAAAAACAGGAAATGATATATATAGAAATGTCTTTACGTCACCCTTAGTTACCCACAACTGTCTATTCATCAGAAAACTGCATTGGCTAAGCATTCTGGTTAATCAAGAGTTTTTCTACACACGAAAATGAATATAATATGAAGAAAATCTAAATAATATGAGCAGTAAATGTGGAAATCGTGACTCTGCCACTTACCGGATAGCATATGTGGAAGCTGTAATCATCAGGAACAGCACCAATACCATGAACACTCCTGTCAGGCCAGGAACTATAAAAAAATGTACATAAATACATTTTAACTTAAGTCGTCCTGAGAAAAAAAGTACAAAAAATTATTGCCTTAAAATCCAAAGTATCATGCTGGCTTTGTGGGACGTCCAGTTCAAATCAGAGATCTCCTTGTATGCTCTCTCTCAAAAAACCTCCTTTTTTTTTTTTAATTAATATAATTTCAAGGTTCTTAAGACAAAACATTCTTTCCTACCTTTAATAGAACAGTTTGTTTTGTATTTTGAAATATCCACTCATAATGGTGAATATTTCTATAGGTATATACTATACCAAATGTCAGTAATTAATACATGAGACAGGATTGACGTTCAACACCCTTACTGGTTTGGTTATCCCTACCAGGGTACTAAACTCCCTTACTTTCTCCTCTCCCCTTTTATAGAATTAATACCTCCTTCAGTTTTAATTTCAAATAATTTATTTTGGACTTCTTATCTAGAATATATTTAAAAACATAAACAAAACCTAAAGCTTCCTAAAACCACAACTTCAAATGTAGAACAAAAAAACAGTAGACTTCAAGAAAAAAAATTACAGGATTGATATTTTCAGAACATTTGCAGAAATATTTCTTCTAGAAGGGAAACATGCTGAAATCAGTCCTTTGGATATGATATAACATTTATATATTTTTTAAAATGTGAAAACATGTTAGTTATTAAAATTAATATTGACATGTTAGATTGCTACAAATCCAGTGTTAGCTCATATAGCATGTCTTAAATTAATAGCTCATGTACTATATCAGAAAGAGCAAAAATAAACATAGTCTCATTTTTTTCCCTACCAAATAAAATATCCTGTGTATAAATTATCTTTATTTACTCTTAAAATTATATAAGCAACAGTAACTTCTAACTGTCCTGGCTGAGAGATTTCATCTTCAATCCTCATAGAAAACTAATAAAACAATTCTGTTTCCAAAAGTATAGACATCTCCCCACTTCTCTGCTTGTCAAGGAACCACCTAGGAAACAGAAGAGCCATCACGCACTATATGACAGTAGCAGAAGCAGATAAGCTGAATACAACAGAATAATAATACAGATGTCCATTATTAGAATTCCAGAGAGTTAAGAGTCATTAAAAAAAAAAAAAAAAAGCCAAAATGTTAGAAATTTAGCACAGTAGAAACAAGTTTCTACATGTAAAAGGTCACCCAAGCAATAAGGGAGTTACTCCTTGGATACTTAATACGTTAATATTCTTTCCTCCTCACATCTTGCAATACACAAAGTTGGAAGCCTAGCCACACTTGGCTTTCCTCGATGTGGCCAAGCCTAGCCATCTCTTCTCTCCACTTCCTTCCCAGGGCACTCCCTTTCCCATCATCCTTCCCACTGCCCCAGGTGCGGATTCACTTCTTAGGGGTAAGGGCAGAGCAAGATAACTACACTAGTTCACACTAAAAGAGTCCTAGCACAGAAAAATACTACTTAAAAAGAACAGCATGCCTGCAAAATGGCCCAGCCTTCCCACTCCCAAGATATTTACCCAAGAGAAACAAACACATCCACACAAAGATGTGTTCAGAAATGTTCATAGCCACTTTATTTTAATAGTTAAGGCCTGTAAACAACTCAAATATCCCCCAGTGGATAAACAAGTGTGGTATTGTTATCTGGACCTGGAAAAGTAATCAGTGGTTTAAAAAAATAATAATGATGAACTATTGACATATACACAACAACATAGATGAATTATAAAATTATTAGGCTGAGTAAAAAAAGCCAGATCCCCTAACAACAACAACAAAGAGTATAAACTCAAACCATTCTTCAGTGATAGAAAGCAGATTAGTTGCTAGGAGGGGTAGTGGGTAGGATGCATTATAAAGGGGAAAAAACAATTTAGAATGATGAATATATTTGTTATCTTGATTTTGGTCATGGTTTTACATGTGTAAATGTATGTCAAAACCAATAAGGTAGCGTAATTTACATATGTATGATTCAATGTTCTTCAATTATAACTCAATAAATTTGAAGAAAAAAGAAGTCTCTCTAGTTTCAAGTAATTAAAAAAAGAGATCCTTATGTGATCAAGTGAATAAATAAATGATGGAATCCCAGATGGCTCCATCATGTGAAATTTGTGGCTGAAGGTCTTTCCAGTGTTTTTATTAGAGATTCATGAATGTCTGCTGTGTCTACATACAAGGTTTCCTATGTGATTCTAAACATGTCAAGATTAGTTACGGAATGTTCGCAAATCACTTCATCAAGAGGACACCTGAAAAAACAGTGTGTTTAGAATAGAGGCACAATTTCCAAAGTGTATTATTTGAGCACTAATTCTTTGGGATATTAATTTCTATTACACAGAAAAGTTATAACCATTCCTTGAGAAGTCACAGGGCACATTAGTGTATTAAAGTCTCTAAGAAGTACTGAAGTCAAGAAACCAGTTTAAATTTAAACAGATATTTCCTCAAACATTTAACTAGAAAACTCCTTTTACAGCAGAAGATGAAAAATACATTTGAAAAACTTAGAGAGGGGCCCTGGCCAGTTTGGCTCAGCGGTTGGAGCGTCCGCCTGCGGTCCGGAGAGACCCAGGTTCGGTTCCCGCTAAGGGCATGTACCTCGGTTGCAGTTTGTCCCCGACCCTGGTTGGTCGTGTGGGTGGCAGCCACTCGATGTGTCCCTTCACGTCGATGTTTCTCTCTCTCTCTCTCTTCCTCTCTTTCCCTCCCACTCTATCTGTACAAAAAATGGAAAAATGTCCTCGGGTGAGGATAAAAAAAAAAAAAACTTAGAGAGGGTAAATAGTCCACTTCAGTCATCTGAAGATGGAGGACACACCTCTGCCCTGGCCGTGAGGCACAGCGGGTAGAGTGTAGGTCCTTGAAACAAAGGGGCACAGGTTCCATTCTGGTCAAGGACATGTATCTAGATTGCAGGTTCCATCCCCAAACCTTGGGGGGAAGGGGGGTGTTCAGGAGGCAACCAATCAATGTGCCTCTTTCACATTGATATCTCTATCTCTCTCTCTCCATCTACCCCCTCTCCCTCCCTCTTTCCCTAAAAATCAATGGAAAAAATATCCTCAAGTGAGGATTAACAACAACAAAGAAGAAACCCCAGACAGCTTGACCAATGGTATGTTTTTTCTGGCATTATGATCCTGTTACTCTCCCTTAGGCCAAACTGCAATCTCAATGACTCTCATCTGTAAACTAAGGAGAATCAATTCAATGCTTTTTAATGTTCTTTCAGATTAATGAAGCTACCATTTTTTTTTTTTTTTTTTTTTTTATCCTCACCCGAGGACATTTTTCGATATTTTGTTCAGATAGAGGGAGAGGGAGAAAGAGAGAGAGAAACATCGACGTGAAAGCGACACATCGAGTGGTTGCCACCCACACGACCCAACCAGGGCCGGGGACAAACTGCAACCAAGGTACATGCCCTTAGCGGGAACTGAACCCGGGTCTCTCCGGACCGCAGGCCGACGCTCTAACCGCTGAGCCAAACCGGCCAGGGCTGAAGCTACCATTTTTATGTAAAGCATTCGTTTGTTTTTTTCTATCTTCCAGAAGTAGGTAAAGGCCAGAGTTTATAATTTACAAAGTAATAGACTTCAGGTCAGTGAGGAAGAAAAACTTACTTATAATTTGCAATAAAAAATATTGCAATTAGAGAGGTCCAAAGGATGGGGTGGTGTGATATCTTAAGAAGTATGATTCTTTTTTTTTTTTTTTGTCACTGGACATAAACAAATAGAATCTGGCTGACAGATTATCTAGAATATTGTAGAGAAGGTCTATGCATCAAGTATTAAAGTTAAACAAGTGGCTTTTATTCCTTTAGTGAATATTTCCCGGGCATCTATAGTATACTGCTAAGTGCCAGAGGAAAAATGAATCCTGCTCTACAGGAGATCCTATTCTAGTTTGGAGGACAGGATACAGCGGAAATTGCAGCACAGGGCATTATGTGCTAAAAGAGAGCTAAACATTATGTGCCTTTGAGGTATATCAAAGGGTACCCTAACCTAGCCTGAAATGACAGTTTAGCTAAATCCAAGAATATTAGCCTCTCTTCCCACGCATATTCCAACAGATGGGAAGCACAGGTTGGAAACCATTAGGTTAGTCTAACCTCATTGGACAAAGTTACTTGCCAAAGTGAAGTACACTGTGAACTCTTGGAGTCCTTCAAGTTATGAAGCAAAATCTATATGTTTCCTTAGAAAATAACATGCTTGAATGTTTACTCTTATTGTTTTTTATCTATGCATATTAGATTCATTAATTAGTAGCCTTTAAGATGAATAATTTCACTATGCTGCCATTTCTAGATGAAACTGAGAGATCACTTTCATCTATGCCCAGATATGGTCAGAAATATACCATCATGTATTCATTATCTTTTTTCCCCAACATAACTGGAACCATAACTATATTTGTTTATGCGGGTTTTTCTAATAGAAATCGGACACTGTGAATTTTATTCTCATCATATAAGGCACTACCAAATTTGGCGATATGTAGTACATGTTTTTAAATGAATGTTTGAGCAACCCAATATTTTAAACTTATTTTATTTCTTAAATTCCTAATTGAAATGCTTTTAACATTTCTTACTTGTGAGTCTAGCTATAATTTTGTGTCACTTTTACTGCCACAAGCTTCATTTTCTATAGGTCAGTCTTAATTTCTCAGACCTAGGTTACATTGCAAAAATTTTAAAGACCCAGAGAAAAGACGATGCAACATTAAACAAACTAAAATCTAGGAAACAAGTCAACCAATAACAAAATGTTCTTTATCACTAGAACAGCTGAAAGCATCCACGCATTCCTTCATCAGGATCTTAATTTTTCCTAGGTGCTATGCCTGACGTCATTCAAAGATAGCTACAACAGTCTTAGTCAGAGATGTACTAGTAAAACAAAGCTAGATTAGGTCTATTTGTAGAAAACAATGCCGCTCATCCCATTACTATCCTTAGATTCTGCCTTGTTCTCTCACCTGCTCCTGTTCAGTGGGGTCAATCAGATGCAGGAGGAGCTCTAGACTCATCCTTAAGATGCCCATCCTCATTCCAAACGAGTCCAGGGAAGCGGATGGCTCCTGCTTTCATTAAATGATGGACTGGGCCACCAAAATGATCCTGACATGCTGATTTTGTGGGGATGCAAATGGTTTGTATTGGCAGAAACTCCACAAACATATTTGCCTGGGGCCTTGCATGCCCTTGGGATAGCATTGTCCCACCCTGGAAAAGCTCATATTCAAGTGGAAAAGATAGTATATGTAAGGAAATAAATTGTTTGACAGCTTAGCATTTTCACTATGTATCTTTAGGAACGCAGACCAAGAAGAGGCCAGCTCTGCCTAGTGGAATTAGGGAGGAATGTGTACAAGTCAGTTGAGACATAAAGGTTAAGCAGGAGTTGACCAGGTAATAAAAAGACAGTAAGATAAGAGAGTAGGTGAAATAGAGTTGGCAGTGAGAAGTTAGGCTCAAGAGTATGATGAGATGCTCTGTAAGGGTAAAACAGAAGCTCCCAAGGTAAGTGGGAAGGTTAATAAAGCACATTGCCAGGTCCTACCCTGACAGACTGACTCTCTAGGATGAAGCCAGAAAATTTGTGTTTTTAAGCATTGTCTATACTTAGTCAAACATCACTCATGGGAATCTCTGGGAAAGAACAGAAGGTGATTGGGTTTCATGCTTAGGAGTCTAGAGATCACCTGTTTATTTAGAAGTTAAATATACTAAGTTTCTTAATGTAGTGTCTTTTTTTATATAAGAAAAATTTTGTATCTTTGTAAACTAAACTTTTTAAAACATTTCAAATGTTCCAAGGCTTCAACTATACTGTGTACTATAGAAAATAGTATCAAAACAAAGTTCTTATTATTTATGTTAAATTAATTCATATAAACCAAAAAATACACGAATTCATAAATAAGGTTTTATTTTTCTGCTTTTTCTCCCCTCCATTTCTCATCCAATTCGTAAGGCTCAAATAAAACTATGTTTTCAATGAGCAAAGTTGTAGACAAAACTAAATTATTTGCGTTCCTAAAGAGAAAACAGTGAAATACTTTGCAAGTGGCAAATATCATAAAATACAGACAAAATATATTTTATAAATCGAAACATATAAATGTGACATAAATGTGGAAAACATCTGATTTCTTGTTATTTTTTAATCATAGAAGTAACAGAAAAGAAAAATAATGCATGTGACAGGGCCATGCCTTAGTTCCATACGCAATTCTGATCCTTAATAGGGTGTTACATCCAAGTCTTTATTTTATGATAGACCAACTCAACTACCTACTAGTCATAATCTCTGAAATATATGCTAAAAATCCTCCATAATACATTTTTCTCCTTTCATCAGTATAAATGTAAAGTTGAAAAGAGAAGAATTTTGATATGAATCTTACTAACATCATGGCAAAAGTTTGGGATATTCAAAAGTGCTTTGAATAACAAATTAACAGTCTAGACTAAGATTTCATGGATAATATGCTTGAGAGGAAAAGTAAATTATAAATAAAAAAGGGAATACATCTCAAGAAAAATACTGATTTTAATGACTGTGTCTCCTCTCTTTTATACATACTAAGATTACAAAGAATTCTACTAAATTACTGAATTATCAGAACTACACTGATGTTCAGAGTGTTTGATGTTTCTTTCCAGCACGTTGAGAGCTAGGAACCTAGTCCACATGTATGATCTCCAATAGCAGTTGCCACAGCAGGGTGCAAAAAGCAGGTTCCTCAATAAGCATGTGGCATTATATTGTTTTCTTTGGGAGAACATATGAAACACACATGCATTTACTTTTGCTCTTCATTTGAACCCCAACTGTTTGCCCCGTCATTACCATTTTACACTTGAACTCCTAATATTTTTTCTGATGCACAAATGTCTATACATTGTATTTTAACATACATCTAATTGCCATACAATTTGATGATGCTTATTTTCATAAATTTTCCTGAACTTTAATAAAGAGCAATGAATAACAACTTACCACTTGTGAAGAGAAGTTTTCTAGGGTCCTGAAAAAAAGGGGAAAAAATATTTGAAAGATAAAACATTGATAATATAAAATTCTATGAGGACTCTAGCTAGGTATGAATTTATGTATTAAGTGTTTAAAATACTATTCTGCCAAAGGAAATACAACTCAAGTTTTGTAATGGTTACATGATGCTAAAGGAGATTATAACAAGTACAAATCCAACTCAAAGAAGTCTATCCTTCTGAGAAAGGAAGAATAGTGGATGAGGAGTCAGAGTCATAAGCTTTCGTCTTTATGCTAATTAAAAGCTAATGCAATGGCCTTAAGCTCACCCTTTGACCAACTTGAAACTCAGTATTTTTCACTCTAATGTGGAAACATTAATATAGCAATTACCAAACTACACCTGCAGTGTGCCGAAAGTGATAATATATATAGGAGGGATTGTACACTGTAAATTCAATGCAACAAATACTCACTGAGAACCTATATTGCAAATATTGTGAAAAGTAGTGACGATAAATAAGGAGGAATGGTTCCTGTCATTCAGAAATATAAAACATTAATATTGTTAGTGTTTTATTTAGATTATATCTCTCATGGTATAATGAATCTTATTCAACTGTTTTTCTATATTCTGGGAAATTTAGATTAATTCCCAGTAAATTTGTGGATTAATTTTTAATACCAATGGTGTTTAATACTGCTCAATTTCTGAATTTCTTTCATGTGCCTTCATTGAGTCTGGGGTCAGGCCAGGTATATACAAAGTAGGAGGCTTTTTGTATGATACAATTTCAGGGGCCTTGAATAAGGACCACTTGCTTAGGAATAGCTCCTCTGGCTTAGGTCAAATGGGTCAAATAACTTCTATACCGGGCCAATGGGTAACGTAGAGTAATCCAATACATAAACGATTATTACAAATAGAAGATGAGCGGACAAAATGAAATCAGTAGCTATAGAACAATTTAATATGGCCACAGAATAAAGATGGAATGTAAGAGTAAGAGATGGTTTCAGAGATGACAAGATGAGGCACATTCAATAGGCCATCAAGAATGTGCCCCTATCACAGGTTGGAGATGGGTCACTGAAGATCTGGAGGAGGCAGAGTGGAAGCACGAAGCAAAAACAGTAAGCTGAATGGCACAATCCCATCCTTTCCAAAGACCATTCACAGAAGAATATACGTGTTCAAGCATCCATGCGTGTGCGTATAGGTTTTCATCTTTATCTAGCACGTTGCCAGTACCTGCAAGGTGCTCAAAAATATTTACTAAAAGAAATAAGAGAAGGAGAAAAAAGGGAGAGAAAAAGAAAAGAACTAAAGAAAGGGGAAACAAATTAAAATGATTAGTTACCTTTTTCATCCATCAGATTGGCTTTTTTTTTTTCTTTTTAAAGTGAGGTGTAGAAATAAGCATTCTGACAAACTTGCTAGAAGTGTGTGAAGACTTTTTGAAAGAAAATTTGACAATGCCCATCAAAACTAAAAATGAGCACATCTTTGAAACCAAAATTCTACTTCTATGAATCTGCCTCGAAGTAGTGTACAAAAAAATAAATGTATTGGCATGTGGGTCATAACAAAACTAGAAATCATCCTAAACATCTGTGAATAAAGAAAAGACTAAAAGTAAAATATAGCCTGTTAATATGAAGGGACTAAGATACATTTAAACTTTCTGATATACCTGCTACAATAAATGCATTTATGGAAACAACTGCTGAGAAATATATATCATAAAATGCCACTTAAAATATCTTAAAAAAAAACATAAAATTATTAACTGTGGCTATTTTTGATGGAGAAGCTTTTAATTTTCATGTACTTGGGAGTTTTAAGCTATTTTATACTGAACATATATATTCCTCTTAAAATGAATTTAATGACTAATAGTATTGAAATGTTAAGCAAAAGTATATTACATTAAAATAACATAAGCATTATAGTTATTAAAGACATATGGAGTAGTCCAGCCGGTGTGGCTCAGGGATTGAGCATGACCCATGCACCAAGAGGCTGCCAGTTCGATTCCCGGTCAGGACACATGCCCAGATTGTGGGCCCAATCCCCAGTGGGGGGCGTGCAGGAGGCGGCCAATCGATGTTCTCTCTCATCAATGTTTCTACCTCTCTCTCCCTCTCACTTTCTCTCTCTCTATAATCAATAAAGGGAAAAAAAAACACATATGGATTATAAAATAAAAGAGGAACAAAGAAGGAAAAGTTAGAAAAGGAAGTTGCAGAGGAGGACAGAGGAATGGGCGGATGTAGTGGTAAACAGGAAAGCGATGGCGCTGGTCTGATATCGCTACACGAGAAGAGCTTCCGCTGGCAGGCTAGGAAGCTGAACTTCACAGTGTTCTTAATGCCAGGTGCACACTACAATCACCTGGTTAGCTTTGTAAAATAACAATGCCTGGCCCCAATCCAGATCAATGAAATCATACTGGTTTTTAAAAACACTAGCATAGTCAAAAGGTTTATCAGAGATAGCCTGTTATTTGGGTTTTGAGATTTGTTTCTGTGTTTGTTGTTACTTTTTTGATTTGTTTAGGGAAGGAGGTCAAACATATGAGCAGTATTAATCTAGATAAGTCTGGTGATATGTGGAGGAGAAAATGGAGTGGGAGAAGATGGGAATAATCTTATGAAGTTACTACCAGACTTAGCAGAACAGGCAAGGTTCTGAGCAAATGGAAAACTCAGCAGTGGGGTTTGTTTGTCTGTTAAGTTTATTTTTCATTGCTGACAGTATTACAGATGACAGTATTACAGATGGTTCCCCACATCCCACCTCCACCCACCCCACCATCCCACACCAGGCCTTTACCACACTATTGTCGGTGTCCATGGGCTATGCATATATGCATATAAATTCTTTGGTTAATCTCTTCCGGTCCCCCACCCCCACCCTCCCCTCTGAGATCTTTCAGTCTGTTTCAAGCATCCATGCCTCTGGACCTATTTAGTTCATCAGTTTATTTTGTTCATTAGATTCCTCCAAAATGTATAAAGAACTCATACAACCGAACAGTGGGGTTTTAATGCAGTCTTGGCATGAGGCAAGGGCAACGTGAGGACAGGATAAGAGTCCTGAGCAACAGAGATCCAACCCAGACTGTGCATATCTCATCAGGCTCTGGCCTGGCACCTTACACATACAGTTTTATTTCATGGGCAGCTGCACACGGAGAAAAGCACCCCTAAGTCAGATATTGCCTGCTAGAATATTCAATTTGAGGTCAACTATTTCAAAGATTAAAACAAAACAAAACAGAAATTGACCCAAGACAATATGCTCAATTAATATTTGACAAAGGGGGCAAGAGCATACAGTGGAGTAAAGACAGTCTCTTCAACAAATGGTGTTGGGAAAATTGGACAGCTACTTGCTAGACCACCAACTTACACTATACATAAGAATAAACTCAAAATGGGCAAAAGACTTAAATGCAACTCGTTAATCCATAAAAATCTAGAAGAAAACATAGGCAACAAAATTTCAGACATCATACACAGCATAATTTTCAGTAATACAACACCTAAGGCAAGAGAAACAAAGGAAAAAATGAACACATGGCACTACATCAAACACAAAAGCTTCTGCACAGCAAGAGAAACAACCATCAAAATGGAAAGGGAACCCACCATATAGAAGACCATAATTGCCAATGATGCATCAGATAAGGAATTAATTTCCAAATATATAGAGTACTCATACTACTCAACAAAAGGAAGACAAAGAACCCAATTAAAAAATGGGCAGAGGACCTGCCCTGGCCAGTTTTGCTCAGCAGTTAGAGCATCAGCCTGTGGATCCGAGAGTCCCGAGTTCGGTTCCCACTAAGGGCATGTACCTTGGTTGCAGTTTGTCCGCAGCCCCAGTTGAGGTCGTGTGAGTGGCAGCCACTCAATGTGTCTCTCTCACAATGATGTTTCTCTCTCTCTTCCTCCCTCACTCTCTCCCGCTCTATATGAAGATAAATCCAAAAATGTCCTCAGGTGAGGATAAAAAAAAATAAAACAAAATAAAAAATGGGCAGAAGACCTAAATAAATACCTCTCCAAAAAGTCCATACAAATGGCCAAGAGACATATGAAGAAATGCTCAACATCACTAATCATCAGAGAGATGCAAATTAAAACAACTATGAGATATCACTTCGTACCTGTCAGAATGGCATCCATCAACAAATCATCAAGCAACAAATGTTGGCGAGGGTGTGAAGAAAAGGGGACTCTAGTACACTGCTGGTGGGAATGCAGACTGGTGCAGCCACTATGCAAAACACTATGGTGTTACCTCAAAAAGTTAAAAATTGAACTTCCATTTGACCTAGTGATCCCACTTCTAGGAATATACCCTAAGAAGCCTGAAATACCAATCAGAAAGAATATATGTACCCCTATATTCATAGCAGCACTATTTACAATAGCTAAGATCTGGAAACAACCCAGGTGTTGATCAGTAGATGAGTGGATAAAAAAGCTGTAGTACATGTACACAATGGAATACTATGCAGCTGTAAGAAAGAAAGATCTCTTATCATATAAGATGACATGGAGGGACCTGGAGAGTATTATGCTAAGTGAAACAAGCCAAGCAGGGAAAGACAAATATCACATGATCTCACTTATTTATGGAATATCATGAACTAAACAAACTAATAAACAAAATTGACCTAGAGACATAAAGGTAGGGTACAGAATGACAAAATCCAGAAGAGGGTATGTTGGAGAGGAAGAGATAAACCACAGAACTTATATGCATGTATGCATACCAATGGACTCGGACAACAAAGCTGTGGATGGGGTGGCGGGGGTGGCGGGGGTGAGGGGGTGAGGAGGAGGGTGTCAATGGGGGAAAAAGGAGAAACATCTGTAACAAAAAAATTAATAAAAATAATTAAAAATAAAACAAATGAATGAACCATTAAAATGCATAATATGTTTTATGTCAAATAAGCTAATTATCCAGGATCCTCAAATGATCAACCTGTTTTTCTGCCCTGTTTCCCCCAAGTACAGTTGCTGAATTATTAAAAGATTTTTACCCTGGAACAGCACTGTTGACAGTCCCATTGCATAACAAGAATTAGACAAACGTCACTGGGAGGCAGACGGCAAGCCTGAGTGGCAGCCATCTGAACACGGCACAACATAAAAAGTAGACACTCTCCAAACTCCCATTTTCAGCAGGAGAGACTGTGAAATAGTAATTACCTATATTTCCAATTGAAAAGGAATAAAACTCAGCTTGACAGCTGCATTTAAAAGCACTCAAAAGAAGCAGCAAGGTACACATTTTCTGTGAAAATCACAGACCCTCATTAGTCATCTCACAACTACTGAAAGAAAATTGAGGAGACAGACACCACCCACCTCATCTCGGTATCTTGCTACATTCAGTTCAACGAAATCCTCTCTGTAGTTCTCTGAGAAGCTGACGGTGTTCACCAGGTGGGCAGCCACATGCACACCTGCAGAATCACACCAGGTGCAAGTCAGTGGGGGTTTTCAGGTATGCTCTAGGAAGAGGAGTCATTCCTCTTTCTAAGTAAATAGAAGGTCAAATTTTGACAGCTATGTGAACAATAAAATGTTAAATTTAAAAAGGGAATTTAAAGACACAAACAACCTTGATTATAGGCAGTTTCAGTATTAATACCATGAAAACAGAATTTTTAAAGCTAGACTAAAACAACCCTAAGAAGTCAAAGTTAAAAAAAAAGAGAAAAAATACAGATGTGCATACACGCGCGCACACACACACACACACACACACACACAAACACTTACATAAGCAAGTAGTATAATAATATGAGCATTAATTTACTTGAGCAGCTCCTGGATATTTTAGATGTTCCGTACCTTTCACAGCTCCCATAACCCCAAGCCTGTCCTATGTCTTGTATACTTCACTGCCAATGAACCTAAAATACAGGCTCACTGAAAGGCTTTAAACCAGTGAAAATTGTTCACAGTCTACCACTTCAAATCGTAAGGTCCTAAACTCAATAGCAAAAGTGTTGGTAACCACTTCATGGGGCAAAACTCAGGAAAATAATAGTTACCATTTAATAATCTATCTACAATGGCACAATAAACAGCATGCTCGACTAACTCGCAGCTCATACAAAATATAAAAGTGTTAGGAAATTGAGTTGACAAATTCATTTTGGCATGCCAGGGCAAGAAGAAAATTATATTGAGAAGGTTGGACAAGGAAGGAGTAAATGACCTTGTTTATTAAACTATAAAGCCCTCCTCCCTTTCTAACCTTTTCTTATATGTGAAATACGGTTTGAACCAACAGCACATTATACTGTACTGTTAAGAACAACAGAAAATTAGTTGGGAATCTATTTTCTTGGCGATTGTATTGCTTGCCTACCTCAAGTTGCTTCCCTGTAAAATGAAAGAAAGAGTCCCCAGTCAGGTGGCTCAGTCGGTTGGAGCATTGTCCTGTACACCAAAAGGTTGTGGATTCAATTCTAGGTCAGGGCACATACCTAGGTTGTAGGTTTGATACCGGTTGGGGACATATAGGAAGAAACAGATCAATGTTTCTCTCTCTCTCTCTCTAAAAATCATTACGAAAATATCCTTGGGGGAGGAGTTTAAAAATATGCAACAGAAATAAGAAATTTAATGCAATAAGTAATCCAAAATTGCTTAGTAAACTATGACAGTTTACACAAATACATAGAGGTAGTGATTCAAAAGAAGACATCTTGTAGAAACCAGAAAACTACAATTCCCTCAAACCTAGCATATGACATATAAATAGGCCAAGATATTTGAGTTACTCACAAAGACAAATCAAAATGAGAGAGAAAGACTAGAATACTAACTAACCTAAAAATTATTTAAAGGATTTATAAGCTCCTGCCTGTGATCAAATTCAAGGAGGGAAGAGCGTCTCATAAAAAGTGACCAGGAAACTGGAAGTGGTTTAATGAACAAGCAAGGACAAGGTTTCAAAGAAATAAAACAAAGGATATCTAGGTGAAATTCAACTTTGGCACAAGTACAAAACATTGTTTAAGCAAAACTATCTCCTATAACTTCATCACTTCATAAATTAATAGTAAAAAAAAATCCCTTGCTCTGGCCAGTTTGGCTCAGTGGTTGGAGCATCAGCCTGCGGACCAGAGAGTCCTGGGTTCGGTTCCAGCTAGGGGCACATACCAAAAAAAAAAAAATCCCTTTATTTGAAATTAATGATTTGTATGTTAACTACATACTTGATGGCTCAAAAGTGTGAAGGCTCCCTTATCGGAATTGCCATTCTTTCTGAATTCTCCTGAATAAAAGTCCTAGGCAATAGCTATATGAGACACCTCCCTTAAAAGGCCTTTTAAGTCAGAAGAATTCAGGGCTTCTAATCTTCTAATTTTAGGCAGCAGAGAGAAAGCTATGCCAGGCACTTTGTATAGATTTTCTCATTTAATACTCACAATTAAACAATGAGGTAGGTAAAATCATCCCCATTTTACAGATAAGAAAACTAAGGTTAGAAAGGTGTCTTAGCTAAGGTCAGACCACTAGCCAGGGGCAGAATGCAGACCCTCTGGAAAACATGCTCCTTCATGGCAGTACTCTACATTGTCTCATCTCGTGATTGTTCTCTAACTGAACCAGAATATTTGGACGCAAGTACAGTTTAGAGCAAATCAAGCTATGAATGCGCCATTGTTTCATGATCCTCCTCCCTAGTCTAACCCATCCCTAACCCTTATCACACCCCTGGACTGTCATCTCTTCCCAAACTCTTACTCCATCCCCAGACTCGAGCTGTACTGGAGCCCTAATTCCATCTCCATCTCTCACCTCCACAAGGGGCAATGACCAATGGGAAGATAGATGTTCAGGAATAAAACAGTAAAGAGATACTTGGCAATTTTTAAAAAGCTGAAAGTTTAATGATGTCTGGTAATAGCTGTATCAAAACACTCCTGATTCAAAATGGGCTTACATAAATATCCAGACCAGAGGTCCCTAGCATCAAAACAACTCTGTCCTACAAATAACAACCAGATGAAAACGCCAGGGGTTATGCCACTGAGATAATTAATCCCTGAGACTGTAAATCATAATAACAAATTCGACCCTAAGAACTTCATATGCATGTTCTCAGTAAGGGCAGCTGGGGATAAATCCTACATAATCCATCTACAGAGACCATGTATGTAATCTATATATTTATTACTTTATGTTCCAAATTTTTTAAAAGTATTATATAAGCACTCAGAATAAAATTTTATTTTAAAATGACTTAAAATCCAAGATTCTAGTTTTTGGAATTGAACAGAATAAATCTCCACAAATTTTTAAAATATTCTCCTCTAGCTACATATTATTTTCAAAGAAACATTTATTAAATATAATTTGGGGTGGTATTGTATTTAATGAATGTACATTTTGCAATCTTATTTTGATGCATTTAAAGTCCTATCATATCATTACTTTTAGACCTTAAAAACTGTTAGTCTGCTTCTTCCAATCTTTTTATGTTATTTATTGTTTTAAATATTTTTAATTAATTTAGAAAGAGAGAAAGGGAGAGATAGAAACATTGATGTGAGAGGGAAACATTGATCAACTGCCTTCTGCACGCCACCTACTGAGGGTTGAGCCTGAAACCCAGGCATGTGTCCTGACTGGGAACAGAATCCAGGACCTCTCAGTCCATGGGACGACACTCAGTCCACTGACAGTCCAGTGAGCCACACCAGGCAGGCTTCCAATCTTTGTCAATGAAATTATTCACTCTAGGAAACATTCATTACCAGCTTGGAGGCCAACATTTACTATAGATAGATAGATGATAGATAGATAGATAGATAGATAGATAGATAGATAGATAGATAGACCTATTTTCTGTAGCATCACTAGACACAACTCTCTTTAAAAACATGGAAAAGGCCCAGCTGGTGTGGCACAGTGGATTGAGTGTCCTCCCATAGACTGAGAGGTCCTGTTTCAATTCCTGGTCAGGAAACACAACTGGGTTGCAGGATCCATCCCCAGTAGGGGGCGTGTAGGAGGCAGCTGATTGATGTTTCTTTCTTACATAGATGTTTCTATCCCTCTCTCTCTTCCTCCATCTCTAAAAACTCAAAACTAAAATTCTTTAAAATAAATAAATATGGAAGAAAAAATTAAGCTATATAAGAAAATTACAAGTTGGTGACAGTAAATAATTTATAGAATAATAAAAAAATGCCATTTACAAAATGTTATTATAACATAATATTTAACATCTTTTGGTTTTCTCACCTGAGAAAATACAGATGGTAACACCACAGGTTATATGGAATGTTCTGCTTTTATCCAACAATCTTCTGGTTCTTCTGCTTGGAACCTAAACAAAAATCATTTAGTGGTGTAAAAATGATGCAGTCAATAAGATACATGTACAAAGTTTTTCACTGTAGCATTGTTTATAATATCAATGTTTTAGAAATATGACAGAAGCCTACCAATTAAAAATTAGTGAGATGAATTATGATATATCTAATCAATGGTACACTTAAACTATTAAACAGAATGTGAGAAGGCTTATTATTGCTATGAAGAAATGTATAAGATATACTGGTTAGGTAAAAAAGTTATAAAACATAAATCCTATATTGTTTAAAATTAGTGGCATTAACATTAATGTATCTGTAGGCATTTACCCCAAATTGTAATCAGCAGTTGTTCTGGCAGAGTAATATTAAGGGAAACCTCTCCTGACACTCCGCATATTTCTGGTATGTTTGAATTTCACTATATGTATATATGATTTCCTTTTGCAGTAAAAAAAAAAAAAAAAAAAGATTATTTTTTAAATAAAGCAGTTTCATTCATGGTTTAAAATGCCTGTTTGATGTTAAGAAAAATAAAATGTCAAGCATCTTTGAATACCTGTTTGATACAAGGGGATAATTCTTTAAGACATTAAATACTGAGGCTTAGTTCCTGCCATTTATCTTCTCTCTCTTCATGCCAAGCCAATGGCCAGCCACAGAGATCAAAACCTACCATTTTACAATGGTAGGCAACCAATTTCTACATATTGCCACATTAAAAGTAAAGAGTTTCCAAATATAATTGCATGCAAAGGTTGAGAAGTTTTACCATAGTAAATCCGGGCATATAAACTTCACAGGATATCAGTGTGACCTTACTTTAACAACTCCTTTTAAAATATCAGTGTCTATCCAGCAGTGCCTTACCATCTTAGTAAAGAAAGGAATAACCACAACACCACACACACACACACACACACACACACACACACACACACTCTCACAGGATAATTGACCACAGAATTTCAGTTGAGTTTTAACTTTCAAAGTGCTTTTTTGTTTTCCTAAATCTTTCATTTTACGACACCAAATATCCACATGTGACATCACTATTTCATCAAGACCGTCTCTAAGCCTATTACATGGTTCAAAACAGGTATGTGTTTTAAGAGCTAAATTGCCACCAACACTAGCAGTCAGTCTATGTATCGCTCAAAAGTCACTACTTGAAAACAGGATCTCAGTGAGGCATGCTGCAGTGGACAGAACTCAGAACTGGGACTGATCTTAGCTGCGCCTTTCACTGGTCTCATGATCTTCAAGTGATTTAAACCCTCTCTGCCTCTCCTTCTGCATCTGCTATGCCTGATTTTAGAATCACTGTGAGGATTCACAATTGTACATCTGAAGTGCTTAACATCATGCTTGATGCCACTGTGAGTAACTTTTTCTATTGTCCTCTGCCTTTACTGTTGTTCTCTAGAATAACTCACTGCTCTTCCTGGCAGGTGACATGGTCTTTACTGTCATCTTTGAAGCAATCACTCAGGCAGAAAATGGGACCAAGAACACTAAGGAGGACTAACCTGCTACTGTTGCACTTGATTTGTATGCTGTACTCAGTGACCAGAATTTTATTTTTCTTACCTTCTGGGATCCTCGAAGGTAAGCCAGGAGTGTCCGGCACATGGGTAAAAGGATAAGGCTGCAGTTGAAGTTAAGAACAGAGGCGGAGGCTCTGCTTAGACACAATCCTAGCTGAACAAATAAAGCAAGGGTCAAACCACAGTCAAAGACGAAAGTAAACTGCAAACATGCTGCAGACCTCACCCGGTTCCCTTTAAGGATCATGGTAAATGCCAGCTCCTTCGAGAGTCTTGGATAACCTTCCTCTTTCACCAAAACCCCTAAGAGAAACTTGTCTCTTTCTGCTCTGCACTGTCATAAAAGGCAGTCGCCTCTCATTTCTACTACTGTTATAATGACCTGAGTACATTCTTCCAGCATGGGTCAGTCTCTTGCTGTTCTGGGTATCAAGAGCCCTAGACAGGCTCAGTATATTACGCGGTGTTGAATCCTTTGTTCGTTGATAAGGTACTGAGAACGTCAAACACATCTTTTTATTTATGTTCTCTCTCTCTCTATTTAAATTGTTTTTTTCAATTGCAGGTGACATTCTCTCTCTAGAACACTGTGTGCCTCCACACAGGCCCCTCCCACACCACCACCTGCCTTTAAGCTCTTCACCTTACTAACTCTACCCAAATTTCAGGGTTCATTTTAAGCACAACTCTAGAGCTGGGCCCTGACCCAAAATTAGGAGAGGTCCCAGATCAGCTGTGTCTCAACAAAGCTAATCAAAACCACATTGAACAACCTAATTTTCAAAAACATCAGTCCCCTTGGGTATTAATGCACTAGTTTGTGGCAACTGATTTTAATCAAAATCTTGCTAGATTGTCATCTGCCATTGTCCAGTACCAGCCATATTCTTCATATGAATAGTTTATTACATGAAAACAAGAGATGGGTCATGTCTGTACACCTCTCCTGAAATAAACAAAACTACAATTTTCAAGGTATTGGCTAAGAAATATGTGTAAGTTAGAAGCTCTTCTTATCTTGAAAGGGTTCTTGCCCCTGAGATTTCCAACTTAACTCTTGGCAAAACAGCAACTCTGCTACACACTATTTATTGTCAGCATATGACATATTGTTCCTGAAAGGGAGACAAGGTAATAAGTAGTGTCAAGAAAGCAACAATTTCCATTGACTTATATAAATAAAAATTAATATTTCCAGTTAGGCTATTTCTACACCATGAGTTAGAACACCATGGGGAGACATTTCATTGCATGTACCAGTAACTGGACAACTAGAATAACCCTCTCTGGACTATCTTAAAAAATGTTAAGATCATTTTCTCACCTCAATCAGCAAAATTATTATCCTTTGAAAGTGACAGGTTTTTGTTGTTTAGGCCTCCAGAGAAATAGAACAATTTTTATATCTTTTGATCTGGTATCTGAATATAAGAAAATTTTAGCTCAAGGGATTTTAGATAATATTTTTTACCTGCAATATTAATGTACCAGGATAATAATTCATTTACAATATGTCAGATAAAAACTATCATATTACATTTAGGACTTAAGATATACAAATAAGTTATCCAAATTTCCTTTGTGGTTCTATACTTTAAAGAAATTCTTATACTTCATTTCTAACTATTTTGTATGTGTCTGGAAGTGTTTTATTGTTGTGTTTACATTAAATCACTCAGTAATTTAATTCAAACTGGCTTTAAGAGTCCCCTTGGGATAGATGGAGTTGATTTTGGCATTCCACTTCTTCCTTTAGATACTGCAAAATCTAACCGGAAATTTTACCAAGGACTCATTTCCTCATGTATGTTTGTTCCTGAATACTTGGTTCTTTAAACTAAGATGAAAACTTTTTATTAGGCTATCAGAGTGCAAACTTTCTCATTCAGAAGCGATGGCAGAAGTGAGGAAAATGGAGACAGATCCCAGTCAAGCAGCACAACCATCTGCTTACTACATGGGCAGCATTCTCCAGACAAGAGCATCTGTTTTATGTGGTCATTAGTTATTCATGATCTCCTCCAAAGTAAGCTGCCTCACATGTTCATGAAAAGAAATGACTGTGCCCACCCTGTGTGAATACCATGTTTCACCATTCCTAGGGACTTTAACCTGCTGGTCTAGTTTTCAAATTTCATTCAAGTTAGTTGTCACTAGATGGCAGTGTTACTTTCACGGTTAAAATCCTACCTGTTCAGGTCTCTGAAACATAATTGAGAATTCCATATGTAATTTTTAAAACTCTAAATATATTTCAGGTAGATATGAATAAAACATAGCTCTGTTCTTGCTATAGACGGAACATTTGTGTCCCTCCAAAGTTCATATGTTGAAACCAAATGCAATGGTATTTGGAGGCAGAGCCTTTGGGAGGTGATAGGGTTAGATAAGATCATGTACGTGGAGTCCATGTTATGATTAGTGCCTTTATAAGAGGGGAATAGACCAGAGCCCTCCCTCATCTCCACGTGAGGCTACAGCAAGAAGATTGCTGCCTGCAAACCAGGGAAAGAGCCCTCACCCAACAGTGAATCTGCTGGTACCTTGATCTTGAGCTTCCCAGCCTCCAGAACCATAAAAAATTAAAATTTTCTGTTTAAGCCACTCAGTCTGTGGTATTTTGTTATAACAGCCCAAACTATGGAAGTCCTATAGAAAATTATAAGACAATATGCCATTCGAAGGAAGTGATAAAAGAATATAACATCTTAAAATATCAAGTAAATTGTTATTTTCCTAAAATCTCAAACTCTTGGTTTCTTATCTTAAATCTGCCACTTAATAGCCATGAGTCTTGATCTTATTAACTGTCCTGATCTGTAAAGTGGAGAAGGATAAAATGCCTTTATCTGTAAAATTAATAGAATATATTTAGCTCTTAGGAGTTTTGTGAAAAAAAGTCTCAAAAAATGTAAGCACTGTATAAAATTATCTTATTGCCCTAGGGTCACTGTATCCCAGACTTTCTCTAAATATTCTCTTCTGTACTTGACAGGAAGTATAGTACTTACGTTACTCATTCAACACATTGTGATGTGCACATATTGCAAGGCACCAGGAGTTCAACGGTGGACAAGAAATAGAAAATGTCTTTTGCCTTAGGATGCTTATATTTTAGTAAGAGAAGCAGATATTGAATCAAATGTACATTGTAACAGTGATCAATGCTGTGAATGAGAAATACAGAGTATTTCCACAGAGTATTAGCATGTGAAACCGGACATGAGATCTCAGTCAGAAGGTTAGAAACACTTCCTTGCTTAAGCTAAAATTGAACTGAGACTTGGAGGATGACAGCAGAAAAATAAATGAGAAGGCCATCCATGCAGAAAAATTCAGCATGAGAAGTGATGTGTGGCAAATGGGAGCATGATGTACATTTGAGAAATTACTAGCAGGTTAATCTGGTTGGATTGGAAATGGTGATCAACATAAAACTGGAGAAGCAAGTAGGAGTAGACCTTGCTGGACCTTGTAGGTCACGTTAAGAATATGTACCTTTATGTAAAATCAATACAGAGTGATTGTGTTTTAAGCAGGGAGGTGGTATGAAGAGGTTATCATTTGGTAATGATTACTCAGAATGAAATGTGGAGAATCGATTAGAAGTAAATAATTTTGGCCATCATGTTAGTTTGTGTAATCATTACAAAATCAAAATTTGGTTTGAGACAAAGACTATATTTTATGGCAATTATATCTGAGTCTTATATAAAAAAGGGATTCAGTTCTTACTAAATATAGGATGTCCCGAGAAAATGTATACACACACTTTGAATAATTATAAAGCCAATGTTTATTAAAATACATTTCATTTACAAAGTGTAATAGAATCTACAGACACCCTGTACACATTTTTTGGGAGAGACTCTGTATTTTGCTAAATTAATTTTGTTAAATAATACACTGAAACATCCTTCTAAAATTGGAGAATGAAAGCAGTCTAACTAACCCACATCCCACCATCCACCCACAGTGTCTACCTGCAACCCTGACCGATGGTAGAATTTTCCGAGAGATAGCAGCTTATTCCACTGTCAAAACCTTTATTTTGTTTTGTTTTCTTTTTTTTTTTAATCCTCACCTGAGGGCATTTTTCCATTGATTTTTGATAGAATGGAAGGGAGGGAGGAAGGGAGAGAGAAAGAAACACTGATGTGAGAGAGACACATCAATTTTTTGCCTCCCACATGACCCAACCAGGGCCGAAATCAAACCTGCAACCCAGTTACGTGCCCTTGACTGGGAATTGAACACATAACCCTTCGTTCCCAGGTCTGACACTCTAACCACAGAGCCAAGCTGGCTAGAGCTATTTTGTTTTCTTACACTTGGATGAAATCTGTGTCTCTATAACTTCCACCCACTAGGCTACTCTAGATATTCCTAAGACAGACATTCCTAACACTGAAGATAAAAGTGGAATCATTTCCTAGCCCAATTTTGTTTTGTTCATGCTACACACAATTAGGTGCCTATAAAATTCTTGATATACTTTTAAGACTCTCTTATAATCCCAGTGACCTTTCCCAATGCACCAGAATTCACAACATGCGCTACACAGACTAAGTGTACAGCGTAGTACTGAAGGACATGATCTGTTTATTCTGTGTTACATTGTGGAGTAACTATGTCACACAATGGCTCCTCTTGAGTGTACAACATATAGATTTTCTCACCTAAAATATTATTAAACAATAACCCCCTCTATCCTACAGAAAAAAAGTACAGGTGTGAGAGAGCAGGTACAAAATGCAAGAATTTATTGGCTTTAGCTTATTATATTATATCAAGTGAGAATCCTCTATTCTGATGTTCTTCCTTATTAACTTGCCTGAGCTGAAAATTTTACATTCACGTTTTCTACATCTTCATCCAAGTTTTTGACAAAGCTATTAAAATGTAACAAAATCCTATTGAAATAATTTACTCTAGAGAGAATTTGCAAACTACCTTTTCTTGCACATTAACTTTTAAATAAACATTTTTCATTCAATTGAGCATTTTCTCAACAATTTGGGGTAAACATAATATGACATTCTACATGTAAATATCTATAAATAACTATTATTCAAAGGTATTTGAGAAAACTAGAGAAGTATTAATAATAGTAAGCTTTAATGAACAGTCACTTTCTTAGCTAACCCTTG